GCCTGTTTCTCGACGGTACTTATTTCCCTGCTACAGATTAAAATCCAATTTCTTACAATTTATGTCTGCTTAATAAGCATGCAAACAGAGAGCCCCCTCGGCTTTTATAAGTCAAGTCAAAGCTTTTTGGGGTTTTTGTTTTCATCACAATTAACGTATAACCTCTACTAAGGTCGCTCTGAGCAACAAGAATCGCATTTGCATAGCGGGAGTAAAGTCGATACGAGTACGTACAGCTTCGACGCTTTTTCCATGCTAACTTAGGTAATTCAGTTAAGATACCAGCCGCCCAAAGCGAGAGAAACGAAACATCAGGTTAGTGAAAATACCATTTCACACTAAATGGTTATTTAATTTATAGCCTGGTACTGTTTCAGCCTTAAACTTTAAAGAATCGAAAGTTACACAATCAGAGAACCGTACTCCGAAATGAGTAACGTGGCACACACGGCAAGCGGCTAGTATTATGAGCAAAACCGGACTTTTTTCGTTTTCGTTTGGACGTACATTTTCCTGACTAAATTTAGCCATGACTAGAAGATAACATTTTCTAGGAACTACATTGCATCTAATCCTGTTTTATGGGGGATCGTATTTACTTGATTGTATACGCAATTTACTCTTTTTGTCTGCCTAAGAAATCATAATCTGCAATGCAAAATGTGCCCGTTCTAAACGACGTTTGTATTTAAAGGGCACAGCAAACTAGACAAGAATTGTCCTAAGATTCACCAACCACGGAATCGCGAGAAGTAAAAGTTATTCAACGAAGCCTGAAACTTGTCTCCTTCGAAGTTAATTAATCCGTTTTCACTTGGGATTATCGTTAAGACAAAGGCCCACACCATGCAGTTCGCTTTTGTTATAAGCATCCGACTAAAAAGAGATCGCGTTGGTTTGCTCACGTTGGACAGTTTTCGTGGACTAAGATTCTAAGGTGGCGCGACAAAAACTTACTTACGTCGTATTACATCTTCTGCGATAGTCAGTGTAAGAATTTATTGACCCATGTCAAAACTGTGATTGGATATCAATCAGAAGAGATTTGTTTAGGGAAACACGAGTGAATAATGGACGATTATTTGACATTTTTATCAAAACAATTTCGGAACTTAGTGGCAAAAATGTAAACACATTCAGCGGGGCTTCAATCAATGAGAGTTTACTGCTGCCAAGATGAAGGGACTACTTCGTGTGAGTCTCCATTTGCCTTGCACAACAATTACAGTTAATGGGGGACGTCCCGAGGGACATCTTGTACGGAGCAAGGGAACGCTTTTCGCGCCCGAACGAGCCAATAAGACAACATGTAAGCAACATGACGTGTCCTTGTTGTGCGGGTGGACACATTGATAAAGCAACCAACACTGAAACATTAGAAATTTAGCCTTGAGTAAAGAATTTTATTTTTCTTTATGGAACAAAAGATTTGTTTACTTTTTGCACGACGAATTTGAGTTTATTTTCCCTATAAGCTATCGTAGGTTTTAATACTTTCAATATAGTTTTGATAACGGTCATGAACGATTAGTAGTAATGATTAAAAGCAGTGTTTCTTGCACAAATTTCTTGTTTTGAGATTCGTTCATTATTGTTATGAGTGTTTTTAGAGCATACAAAGTGCTCAGTCTACCGTATTATTTGGTCCGGCGGGAATTCATGAATTAATTCATAACGCAAAACCTCTGAGGAGGTAGATAGGTAGATAGGAAAGCACGCACATAGTAGGTTAGTTGGTAGCTTAATGAAATGTGTATCTCTATTCATAATGTCAGCTTTTTCCCGCTGAGTAAGCTATGCGTCAGTGCTCATAGAAAAATCGTACCTTGCTATTTTTGTTGTTCCTGCTGTGAGGTCCGTTTCGCGTTCATTGACTTCATCGCTTATTATCTCAAGTATTCAATTGATGGAGGCCTAAAAAGATTGTTTCTATTATTCGGTTTGTCGCTATGGCTTTGCCACTCTCTCAGAGTTTCTTGCATACCCATGCATTAAGAATCTCCCATGGAGAGAACCACTCGGTCACTTTAGCGGTCACGTGCCCGAGAACACAACACAATACAACACTCCTCTCTACTCCTAACAAGTGCGCGAACCCAGACTTCTCGAACCAACGTCCAACGCGCTAATAATTGCTGACAAAGACATCTGGAAACGACTTGTAACAGCAGTGACTCCGGCGGTTGGCATCCTACTCTGAGTAGCTGATTTGTTATAAGTAATATGTTAACAACTATTTTTCTTTTCAGACGAAATCATGGCAACTGCTAAAGCGATTCTTTGTGACTGGTTTATGTTCATGATGTCTATTCCGAGAACAGAGCCAATGACCAAAGTACAAAAATTCACCCAGTGGTCCTCAGTGCTAGCTTACTGTGTGGGAGGGGGTAGTTTACTCGTCTGTCCGCAGCTATGGAGTATCCTTCTGCAGTTGGACTTCCTGGGTCGTACTGAAGGCTACCTTCGCCTTATTGGACTGGGCGTGGTCATCATTGGCTTCTTGTTCGTCGTCTCAGCACGCTCCAACCACCAGGACCCCATACATGCGACCATTTTAGTGTCCATCCTCTGGCGCTGTATCGGCGTGAACGGAATCCTACTAATGCTGATCCTTAGGGACATGCTTCCGCTCTCATTTGCTCTGGTTTTCATGTGCCTTGACACGTCACTCTCTCTGATCACCCTTGTAATATGGTGCCTTGAGACGGAAGGAGCCTCGATGAACCTCTTTTTCCGAGAGAGTTTATCACCAATCTTGAAGTGCCGCGGTATTACATCAGGGGGATCCATCGCAGCCGTCTTTTTCGTCGGTTTGTTTGAGCTATTTTTCTGGCTTGTGTTTGTTATAAGGCCTGATACTGCCCAGTATCTCCTCCAACTCGATGACTTCCAGGGACACTCCATTGGGTTCTTGGCAGGCTTTTTTTTCACCTTGTCTATTCATGGATGGTATCTCCTGGCAAACGCCAACACTATCAATCATCCATATGTTCCAGCTGCAGTGTTCTACCGTATAGTGTTCGATATACCGGTGTTTATCATTCTGTATTTGGTTGATCAAATTGAGCGCAATCTTTGCCTCACTTTGTTCGGTTTTGATGTGTGTTTTTCGATAGTTATTTTGATATTTGTGACTTTCTCCAAAAAGAAAGGCTCAACTATAGCTACAGAGGGTGACCAACAGAAACTGCTTCCTCCTGACGAA